GAATGTAAAAGGCCAACTAAGTTTACTTTATTTATTAAGTGTACTACATCAGCGAAAAAACTTTATACAGCAATTTAGTTTGCTTTATGTCTATCTAGTCCTGGACTTTATACTGAAATAACACTTTCAGTGCTAAAACACTGATTTCCAAAGTGGTTCAGTCTTAACAAATAAAAGAAAACAATTGAAGAAACAAAATTAAAAACAATTTCTTAAAATATTGATAATACAATAGTTTACATTGGAGAATAATATGCATGGCAGGAAAAAATAAAATAAAGTAAGTTATCTTATAAAGGATTTGAAATAGAAGTTTTAAAATTTAGTGTCATTGTGTCATTGATTCAAAGTTTATTTCAATATTATCTGGGAGGTTATACCTTAATTTAGTTCATCTGTAAACAAAAGTTCTTTTACCTTGCATATTACTCCATGAATGTTCAATTAGAGTATTATTGCTTCTTGTACAGTGCGAGTGCAAACAATCATTGAAAACAAAATTCTGAGATAAGTATAATGGAGCTTGGCCCTTTAAACATTTAAAAATATGCGCAAAAAAAAAGTTTGTCCCACAAATGCACATGCTTATGTACGCTTATGCTACTGATTTGTGGGACCTTAGCAACAATATCCAAGGGGCGTGGATTATAAGAAAGAGCCATAACATCATGAATATTCATATAGAAATATACAGTATTCAAAGCACATCCGTACTCACAATAAGTAGAACTTCAAGAAAGAGGCTTCATCTAGTACTCCTCCATATTCAACAACCTCATTGGTTCCTCTGTACAGTTTAATCATAGGGTAACGGGTCACATTGGCCTTCTTGCAAACATCTGGCCAATCAAAGCAGTTCACTTGAGCGAGAGCGCTCTCCTTAAATCCTGTTAACTCCATTACTTCTTTTGCTGCTAAAGTAAAGGGCTTGAGAAAAGCCTGGCATCGTGGGTCCCCTATGAATTATAAAAATTATTAACTAGCTTGTATGAGCAATCCATGTTGTCCACATTCAATAGTTTTCTTGCAAAAGAAAAAATAGTGAGCCCTCTATGACAAGCAGCAGCGAACAATCAATTGGCTTGTTAGTGCCGGAAACACCCACCCTATCATTGTTATTTTTTCACCAATTAAAAATTAAAAACAATGAAAATATTTTAATAATGCAAACAGCAACAAGTTTAAAATGCCTTGATTTCTAGGCGTGATACAATTTTTTACCAAAAACAAATTTGTAAAAAATGCTGACTGATTATGGAGAACTTGTATATTTTATATGTATAATTTGTGTAAAACTTACACTCCACAAGGAATAAGATTGCTGTCAAGTCCTTTCTTGCAATGAATTCTGGGAAGGTTTTGTCGGTAAGCTCCTGTGCGTTAGTGATGTCCAGAACTTCAACTCTCTCATGAAATGTTGCTTCTTGGACAGGATCATCTTGGATATCTTCAACTACAAAAGATAATGTTATTAGAAGTTTCCACAAACAACTATTTAACACCTTTATATATGCCTCCTGTAAGGCAAATTGCCGTTCCATGCCCTTGCAGTGCTGCTACCGATTGCTTTCCTGGTGCCAAGCCCAATTTGATAGTCACTCTAATAGGACCAATTGATACTTTAAAATACTTAAATTTTGTTCTTGTCCATGAAGTCGGCCACTAAATTCATGGCGGATGTTTGTGAGGGGGACCTTTGTAGATTAAATCTCAATCCAGAAGCGGCCGCTGATCGCACCACCTGTTGTCCCAGGATACACCCACCTTACAGCTAAATGTACAGCCTTCAAACAGTCTAACCATCGCATGCGAGGAAAACAGACTTTGAAAGATGATGATGATGTTGACTCAATTAAGATTAACTTACTGCTAACATCTTTGTCATCATATACTACATCATTATCTTCATAATCAGGTACATTCTCTCCCAGCACATTGTCAATAAATTTTGACAGATTCTCGCCAGTTATATCATCATTCATCTGGAAAAACTCGGCCTGAATTAAAAATAAGACAATAAAAAATGTATAATATAGATATATTGGCTGAGTTATGAATTTGAAAAACATCTAAAACACTGAAAGATTTCTTTTTTGTTGAAACAAGGATAAAAATTGTATGCTTACATGAACGGAAACCTGCAGTCCGATGGTCGTTACATCACTGGTCTAATGACGGCGGGAGAGTAAGGACTCCCAAATTGGGGAGAAAAACCACAATTCGTCGGGAGAAAAAAAAATTATATGTATTTTCTACATATTAGTAGACTCTAAAATTGATTAAATAAGCCTTTGAAACCCATAAATTGTCAAAATTTTTTGGAGCATTGCCAAACTACGCCCAATCTGCTCTAGTCGGGGACATTGGACCCCCGCCGGCAACCTTGGACAACCTGTGAATTCCAGTAACCGACCTGTCATTTTAAAGCTTATATAATGTGGGGAATATAAATATATTAGAAAATATATTTTCATGATTTTTTCACTGATACTAGTTCAACATGTTAACTTTCAATGAAAAACACATAAAAAAAAATCATTTATTTTATAAATAATAAAACACACATTTGATTGTAGAACTTACGTTTTCTGAGCGCCCAGGATGCATTACTAAGAATGGTATATCACTTTGCCGGAAGGAAGCGTCTATTCTCAGAGATGGTATTGTTGCTGTATCAACAAAATTTCTGAAATACAAAGGAAAATTCTATATTCAGATAAATTACAAAAATTGAATTTTATCCTATCATTTGTTTAAAATCTTTACAATTTTTACATATATATTTGAATAAACACCTTGCTTTTGAAGAAACACCGCTCTATAGCCTCATTTGGAATAGACGCCGAAACTCCCCAGGCGTTTATTTGAATAAATGCGATATCTAAACCTTATTATCACATCTTAATGTTTATTATCCTTTTATATTAAATTAGCATGTCTTAATATTTATTACCATTTGGTGTAAAAATTTAATACATATTAAATTAGCATGCCTCAATATTTATTAACCTCTTACACCAATGTGCTTTGTTATTTTAAACATCAATATGTTTTGCTGTTTTCTGTATGGAATGAACTGGTAGACTGTTTTCAAAAATTTAAAGTACAATTGATAATTCACTGTTTCTACAGTATACTGACAAATATACTAATTATATCCAATAGCTATCCAAAACAGAGTGTCTGGTCGCTGGTGAAATAAAAAGGCACCTATATACTTAAGGAGCAAGGGTGCATGCCCCTCCCCACCACCATATTGATATTTTTTTCACTTGACCTAAAGCCCTGTCTAGACTATCAAACTTTATTTGACAAAAACATGTGACATGTCTAAATATGGTCATGATGACATCAAAGCATGACCATATATAGGCACATCATTACTATACATGGATATACAACAATTTTTTGTCAAAGAAAATTTGATTATCTGAAGAGAGCTCACAGCTATCACACTATCAAATTGATCTGGTGGTAGCCACTGTGTGTGTGCGATGAACCGTGGAGATCTCTAGGTCCCAGGTTCAATTCCCATCGCTGCCTCTCCTTGTGTTTCAGCTAGAGGGCTGAAATACAAGTTACAATAGCCGTCTTTCGGATGAGACGTTTAAGCCGTTGGTCCCGTGTGCATTTATGGCCCATGTGCACATTAAAGAACACATTACACTCTTCAGAAAAGAGTAGGGGATTGTCTCCCGGTGTGCTGTCCAATCACCACCAAAAGGACCCCACTGGAAATAAGTCTTCTTCTAGACTTTCGTGGGCTATCCTTGGTGTTTACACCGAATAAATCCAATCCAATCCAATCCAAAACTCTTGTATGTCCACATAGTCAAGATGTGCTTATTATATGGTAATGATGTGATGTCATCATGACCATATTTAGGCATGTCACATGTTTTTGACAGTGAAATATAATTTGATAGTCTGGACAGGCTTTGATAATGTAGCATTGACGTACACATCAACGATGACAAATCCAACACTGCCGAAGTACTCATCAGCAACCTCAGCAATTGCCTCCTCTCCTTTAGGGAACCTCTCAAGTTTAGTTACTAGTATCACTGTAGGCATCTTCAGATCCATATGAAGACTGCTTCCACCATTTTCAATTTTGCTCTAGTTACAAAAAAATAAATACTGTATAGCTTAGATCCCTGCTTTTTAAACTATGGGTTTTCACAGCCATTTATATGCGACTTAGCTGAGGGTGACTGTAGAAATACAATAGTATATCTTTATTTGATAATATATGCCTTGGATTAACAAAGAATAATCTGAAATGGGTAGCCACCTAAAAAATTTTGGGAAGCAGGGGTTTAGATGCCATAACATCTGTGTAAACAGGAAACTAGAATATACAACTAAGTAGTAGTATGATTTAATGTATGATTATGGTAGGATTATGATAAGGAATGATTATGATAATGATATGAT